CACATTGCCAATGCAATTGTTGATACTAAACTGCAATATATTACAGCAATAGAGCAATATTAGGACAATGTTATATTAAAACATCAAAAGAAAATCATATTAGTATTGTAAACACTGAACTATTGAGATTAAATATTATTAAACTACGGTTCAGTACTGAGTAGATACAGCAGGGGGCAGTATTGGACCAATACAAGGCTCCATTGACTCCCATTATAAATTATTAAACATTGATATTTCAAAAACTATAAGTTGTACAGGCACCAAAAGGCATAGCCATCATTTGGCACAGGAGCTTTAAAGATATAAATTACAATGGCAGCTCTAGGTCAAAGTATGCAGGAGGAGAAGCGTGCCAAAGTGGAGATGACTTGGATGGGAAACAAATCACAATAGTGTGCATTGCCAGTACATTTTAGTAAAAAAAATTTGAGGACCCCCAAGATACCTCTCGCGGACCCCTGGGGGTCCAGGAACCCAAGTTTGAGAACCTCTGCTGTACACTGTTTCATGTAGCTTTTATTGTATATCTGTAATGAAGTATTTATTCAGTTGTACCAGTTCGACTACTTAAACTCTGTGCAACAACTTTGTTGTTTCTGTTTCCAGGTTTCAAGTTGTATAATAAAGCGTTTTTGCTATTTCTTTCCGTACATTTGTTCTGCATACATTTCTTTAAGTTACTGTATTCTCTGATACGTTTTTATCTTTATGTTGTGTGATTTAAAGCAGCTGACATGCATTTCCTTTTGGATGACAAACTTTTATCTTATCTTATCCACAAGTGAACATATTTTTTTTCAAAGGATGATGTTCTAGTATCAGAAATGATTGGGGAGAAGATGGAATCTGAAAAGTTATTTGGAGCATAAAGAATGAAATTATGGATGCCTTTGAACAGCTTCACTTTTAAATGACAACTCGTTTTTCCATACCATAGTTCCAGCTCAGATCCACACACTTTAACATAAACAGTTCTTATTTAAGTTTACCTGAGCCTGAAGATCTCCTTCACTCCCCAGATTCACAAAATCCGCCATTTAATCATATTCACAAGTGTCGTTAATTAAATATTCAAAACATTTAGAGTGTAATAATAAGGCACAATAATCTACACGCAGAAGACAACCGTGTTGATGACGGTGAAACTATTTCCGGGTCAAAGTTGACAGCGTTTTTTTTTTCTTTATTCCGAGTTCTGATATTAGCATTTTAAAGAACTTAAAAATAACAATTAACAACTTCTGATATATGTTTAAAATAAATATAAATTGCAGGCGACGTTTAGCTTTAATAAATTACAGAAATATTTCTCTCTTCGACGAGTCACAAATTTTATTTTGAAAGTCTTGCATCACTTCCGCTTAGATCAGCTGATTGTAAACAGTGTTGAAGTGTGTATGAAGGTCTGGACCGCGCGGTGTTCGAGCAGCAGGAAGCGGCTCCGAGGGGCTTCAGTTTCAGGCAGAACCCCTGTGAGGCTCCGGCTGGTTCCCGGACCCCGGACCGGACCTCCACCCTGCAGAACCGGACCCTGACCCGAACCTCCCCTGAAAGCTGTAAGTCTGACTTTGTGTGCAGTAACAGCTGTTTCTGACGGCTTAACACAAAAACTGCAGTTAAAAATAAAATGTAGTCAATTTATCATTTAAACTAATACATTTACATCACTGATGGATAAAAAGTACTTTAAGATAATTAGATTAACCAGCACAAAAAACAAAAACAAACAAACAAACAAACTAAATAAATAAATGAACACGAGGTTAAAGTAGAGATAAACTATAATGACCAAGAAAGAAACCAGCTTGGCTCTGATTTCTGTTCATTTTAGTAATCAAATTTAAAATCCGCATTTTCTTTAGATGTCATAAAAAAATAATAATAATTATACTTATTGTCTATAGTGTGTTAGTAAGTTTGAATGTTTACACTGAAATTTTTAATTGTAAAAATATTACAAATGCTGAAGGAAAACTATCCTTTTAATAAATGAAATTATAACGGTTTTGATGCAAACATTTGAATAAAGTTTCTTGTTTTATTTCTATGTTAGGACCAAGGCAAAGATGTGCTCAGTTCCTGGAGTAAGGCGTGACATGTTTGAGGTCACATYACTTCTTGTTGTGAAATCATTCTGTCAACATTTCTTCTAAGTGTCCACAGGTTGGTTCAGGTGATTTCCTGCAGACAAACCGGCGTCACATGATTTTGAACTAAACCTGTTTGTGTGTTTGTGCGCTGCACGTTGTCCTCTGTATCAAACCGAAGCATCGTAACGTCCTGATCAGACTGATTTATCACATGATGCACAACCRTGTGAGCAATGCTTCTTCTGGTCATTGCCACTGGTTTGAATGCAGATGTAGAATGTTGTGCATGTGATTTAGGTTTGGTTTAAGGGAAAGGAGAGGGCTTGTTTCCTGACTCATCTTTAAATAATCCAGATTTACTTCTCCTKGCTGACATCAGCTTCTCTTTCTCTGTCTAAAAAACAACCAACCCTTGTGATTTCTCTTTGTGTCCCCCTGCTGAAGAGGTTGAGCAACAGTTCAGAAGGTTTGAGCAGCTAAGTTCAGTCTTTTGTTCACAGAGATACAAACAACTCATAATAATTTGGAGTAATATCTACAGAGCTCTATAAGTGGTTTGTAATAAGCGTAAATCAGTTTCAGCTGCTGGTTTCCAATGGGGTGCCATTTGTAAAGTTACACAGTCAAAAATTACCACAAATATTTTTGTTTTAGTTAGCTTTTTATAAGAAAAAAAGAACAGATTTATTTTTCAAAATCAGTTTTTTATGGAGCCCGCGAAGTGACATGGGGGGATTTTTTTTGCGTTCCCTCGCAATACTTTTGCGTTCCCTCGCAATACTTTTGCGTTTCCTCGCAATACATTTGCGTTCCCTCGCAATACTTTTGCGTTCCCTCACAATACGTTTGCGTTCCCTCACAATACTTTTGCGTTCCCTCACAATACTTTTGCGTTCCCT